GGGGGAGCTTGGCGGTGGGAGTGAGACAACGAACAGAGAGAGAGAGAACACGTATATAATAGAACCAAAGGAACTGGACACGAGAGAGATCAGCGACATCGTCTCTTCTTCTTTCTTCTCCATGACTTCTTCTTGGTAGTAGAGGCGTGAGCGACGGCACAAACAAGAAAAACAAAGATTCAGCGTGAACGACGGCGGTGAATAGGAGAGTGAACCAGAGAGAAAAAACAGCGAACAGAGGCATGCGAGAAGCAGGCTCAACGGCGTCATCTTCTTCTTCTTCACTACTGCCATCAACGAAGAAGAAAGAAATCATTCATCGTCCATCGTCTTCGATGGCAACCTGTAGCAGAGCATTATTTATGGCATTCCTCATGGTGAACCGTGACTAAAACTCTGTAATTCTCTAGTTAAACAAGAATGCAGGAGCTCGGATCAAAAGAGAGTTTTAGTTATTTTAATTTTCTGTCCAATATTCCTAGGTCTTAGGATAGTTATTTTGATTATTAGAAAATTTGTATTGTTTAATCTGATTATATTTGAAGATTATTGTGGCTGGATTATTGTTTAGCATTTGACATTAGGTTGTTTATAGCTTTAGTTTCAATTATAATGTTGTGGTTATGACATTTGTATTGATTTTGAAGTTAACATATTGTGATTTTCTAAGGTGGTTTGGAATCTTGGATGGTATTATCTTTCGCTAACTTTAATTCTGTTATTTTGGATTTAATAGTTCTAATTAAGCATTGGGTTTTAGCATCCTTAATCTCATTTTATTATTCTGGTTACAGTTAGTAAATTAGGATTTTAGAAAAATATTTTATGACAATTCAAGGTGCCTCAGTTGTTGAATTAAAAGTTTGATTATAATTTTTAATTCATTGTTTTAACTCCTGTATCTTTTAGAATGAGGATTGCCTACGTTGTTGAATTGGAGGATTGATTTTTATCATTGTTATTTGAGTGTTTCATTTTGATTCCTTTAATCTTCATTCATTTTAATCACTTTTATATAAAAATAAAAAAAGGTACTTTTAATTTCAATTTAATTCATAACATTTAGTTAGTAATTCATAAAAATAAAAAATCATTTTTATAGTTTAGGTTATTTACATTTATTTATTAGGATTTAATTTCATTTTTGACTCTTTAAAATGAATACGACTAGGATTGTGTACTATATTATATTAATTCGATTAATTTTTAGAGTAACTCCAAAACAACAAATTTAAAAGCTTAACTTCAAAGATGCTGCTCAATGAAAGCAACAGAGGTAGACGAAGGATGGAGAGACGATGATTTAAAGGTGAAGTGAGAGACAAGATCGCCAGGCAGAGGAGTGATGCGAGGCCACTGGTGGCTAGAAGGAGAGAGAGATTTCTTGTGACATATGAGAAGGCAGAACTAGGGGCGGCTGCCTGCGCATGAGAAGGCAGAGGAGAGGGATTACGGCTCAATGGAGGGAAGGTCAAAATTTTTGGAGGGAAATGATTTTTCACGAAAAAAAAAATCTAAATCATACTATTTAAGTCTTGCGTATGTCAATTACATCCGGCTTGCGTATGTGAAATTTGCTTTTATAAATGATAAGTTGAAATTTAACTCTTAGTATTTTTCACACACAAGAATAACTATATTATATTTAGAATAATATTATAGTGTTTGGCAACTTTTTTTTTTTAATCAATATCTAGACAACTTGATATTAATGCTGATATATTTTATTGATATAATTTGATTCATATTAATTTGTATTTAACTTTAAAAACAAAGAAGAATCAGCTTTTCAAATTAATATATTATTATATGATTTATTAAATATCAGTTTAATTTTTCCAGTCTAATTTGAAATAATTTGATCTTTTCCAGTTTAAAAATGTCCATATCTATTTAAAAAAAGATAAGATATGTATGCATAATATAACATTGACAAGTTCGAATTACATGAAGATATGGACTAAAAAAGGAGAATAATGTTGTCATGAATAAATTACAAGAGATGATACTTAAGATTTATACATCTCTCACATTATAATGATTGTTACTATAAATTACGTAATGTACAATCAAATCATTAAGCAGTTTGTTTAATTAATAGGAGTTGTAATTTTTTAATCAAGGGAGAATTAGAAAGAAGGACCAATAAACCGTAATATTTATGAGAGAAGATCATAAAAATTAAAATTATCTAAGAGGAGTAAATATTCAAATATAAATTTAAAAACACCACATTGCCCCTATCCCAAACCTCATATATTTTTGCCTATATTCTCTCCTATATTTTATTATTAAAACTAATGCAAATTACTAAATTTCACTAAATTAAACCTGATTTCTCTCGAAATTTGCAACCTGCGTAAAACTCAATTTAAAAATTATGCAAATATTGTTGATTCATAAAAAAAAAAAATTAAAGTTTTATTTTTTTATAAAAAATTTAAAATTTTCTTCTTAAAACCGTCATAGATTTTAATTGAAAATAAAAGTTATATACTTTTATCAAAATTTAGATTATTATTTAATTTATTATGTGCATGATTTTAAAAAAATTCAAAAAAACTTGTATAATTTATTTCTTTATTTAATAAGAAATTTATATCAGATTTTCAATAAAAATATCATGTAATGTTAAGAAATTTAAAGAAGGGAAAATTGGGGATAAACCTCCCATTGAAAATTTAATTAGCAAATGGGACCTAAAGATTTTGTGCAATTTAACTTCTTTTGTGTGCAATTTATCTTCTCTTATGCGCAATGTATCTTCTTTTTTCTGCAATGATCTTCCTTTATGTGATGCGCAACTCAATTTCTATTTATGCAAATGAAATTTTCTTATGTGGAAGTAATTTCTCACATCTAAATAATGTTTTGTGCAAACCATCTTCCCTTTGTGCAAATTATCTTCCTTCGTCTACAACTAATCTTTTCTTGTGCAATCAATTATCCTAAGTCCCATTTGCCAATTAAATTTTTAATGAGAGATTTATCCCTAATTTTCCCTTTAAAGAATTCAGTTAATTTATTATAATGTTATAAGACCCTCCTCAAAATCATTTAACAAAAGCCACCTAATTATGTAATAAGAAAATTCATGTTACGTTAAGAAATTTGAAGAAATCATTTTCTTTGCATTTTTTAAATATTTCTTATATAATGAATTAATAATAATCATTTTAATAAAATTATAGAATTTTTATCTTTAATTAAAGTATGTGATGATCTTAAATAATTTAAATTTTTTATAAAAGAAAAGAAAATTTTAATTTTTACATGACTGAACAATGTTTGCATTTTTTTAAATTGATTTTATGATGTAAAACAGAAAAGAGAAAGGGGAAGAGAAGGAGATCAGAGAAGAATATTAGAGAGAAAGGGAGAGCAAAGACGAGAATGAGAATGGAAGAAAACTGTCTGATACGTCAAAAGCCAAGTCTGCTTACCCGATAGAAACCTAGGGTACTTATGACCTAATTTTATATAAAATAATTAAAATACAAAATCAATAAATGGGTTAGTGGGTAGTTCACGAAATAAATAACTAACAAAAGAAAATCAATTAATTAAATCTACATCATTTCCCCCTGCCCCGATTCGAAGAACTCACCACCGGAGAGTTAGAAAGCTGGTAGCTATCGAGGAGGGCAGCATCTACATGATAGAACTCATCCTCAGTGAGCCATGTAGCGTCTGAATCAGGCAACCTTTCCAATGAACGAGGTAACAACTGACGGGACCTGCTGGAGTTAGAACCGTCTGCTCACCCATCACGGCGTCAATGGCTTCCATAGGAGGCGCAACTCTAGGCACAGGTAGGGTTAGGGCTTGGTGAGTCTGAGTACCTACAGAGTCATCAGAACACAAAGGGGGCGGCTCGAAAGTGCCCCGGTAAGAAACAAGATCCTCAACATTAGATACTGGACTAATAGACATATATGGAGGTAACTCTAATAAGTATGCATTGGGCCCTAACTTCTTGGAAACGCAAAACGGGCCAGAGGCGCGAGCATGCAGCTTCTTGTAAGGCCTCTTTGGGAAACGCTCAGGCCGTATACGAGCCATGACAAGGTCGCCAACATCGAACTCCTGGTGACGTTGATGGACATCAGTAGCTATCTTATACCTGTCATTATTTAAAGCTAACTTACGCCTAACCTCAGCATGAATATAGTGAAGGTGATGTGCAAAGGTCTTCACAGATTCAAAAGGGCAAGCAGACAGGGGAAGGGGACCAAGGTTAATAGGCTGTTTTGGGTTGTGATCCTGCACAATTTGGAATGGGCTTTTGCCAGTGGATCTATTGACCAAGTTATTGTAAGCAAATTCAGCTATAGGCAAGACTAAATCCCAGTTACCAGGCTTATCGCCAACTAAACTACGGAGCAGGTCACCTAAGCTACGATTAGTTACTTCAATCTGTACGTCAGTCTGAGGGTGGAAAGCAGACGAGAACTTCAGTTGCGTACCAAAGAGCTTCCAGAGGGTCTTCCAGAAATAGCTGACAAACTTGACATCCCTATTAGAGGCGATGGTGGTAGGCAGACCGTGAAGACGCACAACCTCTCAAAAGAAAAGCTTGGCTAGATGTGAGGCATTGGTAGTCCTACTGCATGGGATGAAATGTGCCATTTTCGAGAATCGATCAACTACAACCAAGATAGAATCATGCCCTCATACTGTCTTTGGCAACCCAAACACGAAATCCATACTAATGTCCTTCCAAGGTGCCTTAGGAACAGGAAGAGGTGTGTACAACCTAGTATTCCTCTTATTTGCCTTTGCTGTATGGCATGTACGATATTGGGAAAGGATTCGAGCAACATCACGCTTAAGGGAAGGCCCGTAGAACCTGTCTTCAACCATGGCTGTAGTCTTTTGAATGCCAAAGTGTCCGGCTAGCCCTCCCCCATGTAATTCCCAAATGAGAAAATCATGCAGTGATATGCGGGGAATACACAACCTAGACCCACGAAATAGGTAGCCATCATCAATCAGGAAATTCACATGAGCTTCGCGGTGGCATCTTTAACCTCATCATAAATGATGCCAAAGTCAGGACACGAAGTGTACTCATCCTTGAACTTGTCAAATCCCACGACATTAATCGTTAAGGTGTTAAGAACGTGGATTCTCCAGCTAAGAGCATCAACTACCTTGTTCTCTACCCCTAGACAGTGCTTGACCACAAAGGTAAATTCCTAAATGAACCCACTCCACTTGGCAAGTTTGGCATTCAAGTGTCGTTAGGAGCTAAGGAACTTGAGAGACTGGTGGTCTGAGTAGATGACAAACTGTTGGGGGAGGAGATAGTACTTCCAATGCTCCAACGAGCGAACAATGGCATAGAACTCTTTGTCGTACGTGGAGTACTTTTGCTTGGCCTCATTAAGCTTCTCACTGAAGTAGGCGATGGGGTGGCCTTCTTGGCTCAGAACGCCTCCAATTCCAACCCCAGAAGTGTGACAAGCAACTTCAAAGCACTTGTGAAAATCAAGTAAAACCAGGACAGGAGCACTCAAGAGTTTCTCCTTAATAGTGTTGAAAGCTGTGGAGGCTGTAGGAGTCCACTCGAACTTTTCCTTCTTCAAGCAATCAGTATTTAGAGACATAAGGGTGTTGAAATCTCTGATGAAATGCCGATAGAAGGACGTAGCCCATGAAAGCTACGTGCTTTATGCAGTGTCTATGGTTCTGACCAATCTTGGATGGCTCGGACCTTTGCAGGATCTGTGGACAAGCCTTATACTGAGATGATGAATCCAAGAAATGTAACTTGACTCTGCAGGAAGGGGAACTTTGGTAGGTTAAGATAAAAATTCTCTTTCCGAAGGGTCAGGAGCACCCGTCTAAGGTGATGCAAGTAGCCATCTCTAGATTTATTGAAAACCAGAATGTCATCAAAATAGACAACCACGAACTTTCCTAGATAAGGTTGCAACATATGCGTCATTACTCGTATGAATGTGCTCGGGGCGTTTGCTAAGTCGAATGGCATAACAAGCCACTCGTACAGTCCATCTTGCATCTTGAACGCGGTCTTCCACTCATCTCCTAGTCTGATTCGAATTTGATGGTAACCACTGCCAAGATCGAGCTTGGAGAACTACTTAGATCCAGACACCAAATCAAGCATGTCTTCTAACCTAAGGATCAGGAACCGGTACTTGACGGTTATCTTGTTGATGGCTCGACTATCAACACACATTCTCCATAAGCCATCTTTCTTCAGAGTCAGAAGGGCAGGGACAGCGCAAGGACTGAGGCTATGCTGGATATAGCCCTTTTTAAGCAAGCCGTTAACCTGTCGATTGAGCTCTTCCCGATCTTTAGGGTTCATCCTATAGTGTGGAAGATTGGAGAGCTGTTATCCTAGAACCAAATCGATTGCATGCTTGATGTTCCTCATAGGTGGCAAGTCAGGAGGTAACTCCTTAGGTGCAACATCCTTAAACTCATCCAAGAGTTGGGTCACCTCTTTTGGAAAATTGTCAGGTGTTGGTGCAAAAGGAGAAACGACCTTGGAAATGATGGCAAGGATGACATCAACCTCCCTACTTTCTTCGATGAACTGCTTCTCTGTTAGGGGGTGAAGGTTAATGGGCTTAGAGGTGGATCCTTTCATGAGGGTAGGACTTTTTGCTTTGTACTCAGGCTTCGCAGGATGGAGTAAGATGGTCTTGCCCTCATGCTTGAAGATGTGGTTGTTTGCTTGGCCTTGGATAGTGACATCATAGTCATAGAGCCACAGGCGTTCTAAAAGAATGTGAGACACATCCATGGGGATTACAACACACAAGACATCTTCCTTGTAGTCGCCCAAATGGAGTGGGACATGACACTGCCGGGTGATCACTACAAAAAAATATGTATTTTGTAGCAGTTAAAATAAGACATTTCTAGCGGTTTTAACCGCAACAAATAACATTTCTAGCGGTTACAAAAACCGCTAGAAAATCAAGTGCAAGAAAAAATTTCTAGCGGTTATGGCAACCGCTACACAGTATGGTCAAAACACCATAAACTTTCTAGCGGTTAATTAACCGCTAGAAAAATCTAGTAGTAGGAGACGAAATTTCTAGCGGCTAAAAACCGTTGGAAAAGGCAAAAAAATTTGTAGCGGTTATATAACCGCTAGAAATTTCTGAACCAAATCAAATTTTGCCAGGAAATTAAATTTTTGAATTGGCGCCAAAACATTTCTAGTAGTTTGAACCGCTAGAAATTTGGCGCAAAATTTAAATTTCAGGAAATTTATCCTGCTAATTTTTTTATTTCTAGCGGTTTTGAACCACTAGAAATGTTTTTCCAGGCACAAAAAAAATATTTGGTTTTTGATTATTAGAAAATATAATATTATAAATTTAAAAACCATTAAATAGATTATATTGGAGAATTTTTGTTAATTTGTATAATTAGTTTTGTATTACTTTTTATATATTTGAATTTTGTAATGAACAATATGTAATTAAATTATGAGTGTGTCAAAAGAAGTGAATTTAATTTAATAAGATAATTGAATTGAAGATTTAATAAGATAGTTGAATTGAAGATGAGATAGTTTGTAATGTTGAACCTAAACTGTTATGTTGAGAAGTATTTGAATCAGTTGAGGAAGGCATGATAAAAGTGAAGAAGAAAAATCTGAAAGAAAAAGAGAAATAAATATGTTAGTAAATTATAAGTAAAGACAAATAAAAGATATAAGCACTTATAAAATAAAATTCACTTACCATATAGTGAAGAGAAAGAAACCACCATATGAGAGAGTAAGAAAAAAAGAGAGAATTATGAAGAAGAATAGGAGAGGAAAGAAAAAAGATGGGGTAAATAAATGTAGAGGTGATATAATATTTATAGAGATCAGCGACACATTTGTAGCAGTTTTTTTGTAGCATTTTGGTGCATTTTGTAGCTGTTTGTCCATTTTCTAGCGTATAAGTAACCACTAGTATTTGTAGCGGTATGAAATTTGTAGCAATTACCTAACCGCTACAAATTATAATTTTTTATTTTTTAAAAATCTAAACTAATTTTAATTTATACATATGTATTTATAGGAAGGAAATTTTTTAATAATAAATTTGTAGCGGTTATGTAACCGCTACAAATTATAATTTTTTATTTTTTAAAAAACTAAACCAATTTTAATTCATACATATGTATTTATGGAAGGAAAAAAATTTTAATAATAAAATTTTTGATGCTGCTATTCTTCATCATCATCCGGCCTGAAGGGACATATTTAAAAAAATTATGTTAGAATTATAATGTATTTAGAAGAAATTAGTAATTAGTAGTTAATTATTTAAATAATTTAAGAAAAGACGTATACCTGGTAATTGGCAAATTATCGTCTCCTTGACGAAAGAAGTCTCCAAAATTCAGGGGTTGGAAGGGTTTGCTGTCGTAAATAATGTCACCATCACCCATATCATAAAGATCCCGTGGCTTGAGGTGAACGACCATATTTCAGTCTTCATGTTTTTCGTCCTCGACATAGTAAACCTGGTGTGCCTTGGAAGCAAGGATATATGGCTCATCATCTTCAGATGCCCCCGTATGAATAAGTCTAGAGAAATTAACTGAGGTAATGCCCAAGTGGTCAGTAGCGAGTCCTTGTGAAGTTGTCGTATTTGCCCAAGAGCACTTGAACACTGTCACGATGAAAAGTTGGTAACTCAACTCAATAATGCCAATTAGCTTTCCATAGTAAGTAACGCCTCCAAAGCGCATATCGCCATCACTACTGCTAGCATAACATCTCATCCCGAATGTCTTGTAAACTCCAGAGTCTTGTGTGAGCAATCCCTGATCAAGTCCAACCGTATAGAACTTGAAGCCGTTGACATTATACGCGGTAAACCTTCGTGCATGGTCTAACGGACCGAGGGAAAGAGCTTTGAATTCATCTATGTATAAGCTATTGTCATTACATATTCTACATGTAAACCAACTAGGAAACTCTTTGTGGACTCTTTTACCAATGTCAGCAGAACGCACACGCCCCTGTAGCTAACACCTGAGGTAACTTCTAAACTCACTACAGTAAAGTGTAATTTGTTAGAAGAGTCAGTGAGAAACAAATATAAAGTGTAAAAGCTAGTGAGCTTATATGATATACTTACTGCATGAAAGGATCAACTTTTCTACAATTTATCAAAACGAGTCTATGTGCCTGGAGTTTCTCTGTAGGAGTGAGTCTGAAGAATTCATATCCTCCAACTGGTTTCCTGACAGGAGGAAATAAAGTTGACGTGGAAGGACTAGGAGGAGAATCATCTACGCGACCCGGGTGGTTAAAAGATGTCTCTATGTCGTCAAAGTATGTTGAACAAAAAGTTAGGACCTCATCTCCAAAATAGCCTTCTGCTATTGACCCCCCAGGCCACACCTTATTCCTAACATATGATTTTAATTTTCCTAAGTACCTGCAAGTTAATATTGCATTAATAATTGCGAGTAAATGAAACAACAATGTGAAATTTAAAGAGGCGGGGATAAAAAATAATCTAGTACCTCTCTATAGGGTACATCCATCGATAGTGAACTGGGCTAGCAACCTTTGCTTCTCGAACAAGGTGGACAGTCAAGTGAACCATAACAGTGAAGAATGATGGAGGAAATATCATCTCCAAGTGACAAAGTGTAAGAATAATTTTATTTTGCAGCTGATCAAACTCTTCCGCTATCAAGACCTTTTCACACAACTTCTTGAAAAATGAACACAATTCCACCAAAACCACTGATACATCAGAAGGAAGTGTGTTTTTCATGGCTAATGGAAGTAACTATTGCATAAGAACATGGGAGTCATGACTTTTTAACCTAGTAACCTTTCGAGCCTGCAGATCAATACACCTTGAGATGTTGCTAGAATATCCATCTAGTACTTTTATGTTCTTCAGCGTCAAGAGGAAGATATCCTTGTTCTGCTTTGTCAAGGTGAATGTAGCTGGTTGAAACTTGTCATTTTCATCAGGCCAAGCCTCTTCATGAATTCTCCAAGCCCGTAAATCTTTTCTAGCTATGAGATGGTCTTTGGACTTTCCAACTTCGTTGAGCAACATATATAGCACATTATCGCACACATTTTTTTCAATGTGCATAACATCCAAATTGTGTCGTAGCAAATTAGATTCCCAATAAGGAAGAGTGAAAAATATGCTTCTCTTCCACTATTGCATAGGTTGCGTATCAGATGTCCCACGAGATCGTCGTCCCAATCGTTTGGGATCCACACTCTTACCAAACTCGACATTAACATCTTCTAACTGCCGCAAAATATCCACACTAGACTTAGTAATAGGAGGATCTCTCTTCTCCTGTTTCCCATCAAATCGAATCCGTTGCAATCTAAGTCTGTGCTTGGAATCGAGAAACCGTTGATTTCCTATGAAGCACTACTTGCGACTGTGTGGAAGGCGACATGGCACGGAATCAAAATTACACTCAAGACAGGCCAACCCAGTATGCACGTTCTAGCCAGACAAAGTTTCCAAACCAGGAAAATCACTTATTGTCCACATTAAGGCTGCACAAAGATTGAATAGTCACTTGTCATATGAGTCATATGCCTCAACACCATTCTTCCACAGGTCAATCAATTCGTATATCAACGGTTACAGCTATACGTCTATATCATTTCCCAGTGCTTTCTTGCCAGGAATGATCATGGAAAGCAAAAAGGAGCTCTGCTTCATGCACATCCAAGGTGGTAGATTATATGGAATTAACACCACCGGTCAGATATTGTAACTTGTGCTCATGTTTCCGAAGGGATTGAAAATATCGGTTGCCAACACAAGACGTACATTTCTAGGATCACTGGTAAAGTTTGGAAATTTCACATTAAATGCTTTCCAGGCCTCCGAATCTCGTGGGTGCCTTAACCTTCCATCTGGATTTTTCTCAGTCGCATGCCACCTCATGTGTTAAGCCATTTTTTATGACATATATATTCTTTGCAACTGTGGTTTTAAAGGAAAGTATCTAAGAAAATAATGTATTAAAAATCAATTGTATTGAGAATTTCAATATCGAATATTTAGAGACGGAACAAGTAGCACATTATAATAAATTGTGCCTGAAAATTTTGGCTGGTTTCTTCTTTTGCTTTTTCCCCTTCTGTACCGACTTATAGCGTGACGTCTTGCATCTCGTACAAATCTCCTTGTTTGCATCATCTCCCTAGTATAACATACAGTCATTTGGGCATGCATCTATCTTCTTGTAGTTCAAGCCAAGCTTGTTAATAATCTTCTTTGCTTCATAAAAAGATAGAGGGAATTCAGCTTGGGGGAAAGCATCTCCTAATAATTCCAACAACATGGACATCGCCTTGTCAGTCATACCACACAAGCATTTGATATGATGCCTGACGCTCCCAGCATTTCTCGCGGAAAGAGCTTGAAGCAAATTGTAAAAAAAATAAATTAAATTAGTCAAATTGGACAAAAAATAAAGAAATTATAATTAATACAATATTATCACACTATCTGGTCAACCGACATCCTAAAATAGACGTAACTGGACCAGTCTTGCTCCGGGACTCCACCAAGTACATCTGCTAGTATCTCTTGCAAGGGCCTCGTCCCATCACCTTTCTTATCCCTCCACAGGTCGGCTCTCCTGTTCTTCCATGCCACCCTAAGCCTCTTGATCGTGTCGGACCTCAACTCCTCCCCCAGTATAAATTTACTCTGTGATTAAAACAATAAATTAAGTAAATAACAAATTATAGACAAACAATTAAGCAATTTCAATAAAAATATATATTTA